AATATTTTAGATAAATAATGGACAAGATTCTCACTTTACCAGCATCTTCTATATTGCTAAGAGAGGGAGAGAGAAGAGGAAAATTTGAAAAAGAAAAGAACAAAAATTTCAAAAATCACACAGTCGACTGTTAAGGTTTGATTCGGTCAAGCTTCAACATTTTCACAGTCTACCCCATCACCATCACCATATTTCTTAGAACAAGGTCAGGAACTTTGGAATTTTAAGCATTTGATTTTTCCTTTGACTTTTTTTGTGATTTTTTGTGGATTACATTGTTATTATTGATGTAAATTCTTGATTATTTAGATAGAAAATGGTTGGTAGTTAATGGGACAAAAAAAGGGGCCTTGAGCTCGTAAAAAATGGCTTCTGCTATCAGTCGGTGGAAATCGATTGTGTCTCTGCAAACCGACAGTGAAAAGTAGGCTCAGCTGACTTTTTTTCTTTTTCCCTTTTTTCCTATAATTTTTTCCACGTTTTTTATTTTTTTATTTAATTTGTTTTGGTTTTATTATAGTTTTTTGAATTATTTTTAAATTTATTTTTTGAATTGTTTTTAAATTTCTTTTTTTTAATTATTTTTAAATTTCTTTTGTTGTTTGATTTAAAATTATTTTTAATTCTTTTCGTGTTATGATAAAACGGAATATTTTCAATCATAATAAAACATTATTTATTTTTAATTTTAATTATTTCAATTTTAATTTTAAATACTTTTTAACAGCTTTTTTTTTCATTTTCATTTTTCTCTTTTTCCTTTGTTTTTATTTTCTCTTTCTCTTTTTCTTCTTATTTTAATTTTTTTTTATTATAATTTTTTTTTTGAAATTGTTTTAACCAAATGAGCAAATCTCTTATTTTTTTTCCTTTTATGTTTTAATTTAAAATTCTTTAATTAAATATTCTTCGTAAACAAATCTTTCATTTTTCAAATTTTAAGTAAATAATATTTTTATTTTATTTTATTTTAATAATTTCTTATTGTTGAAATTTGTATATATAATATTTATATTATAGATAATATTGTAGAATAATATTTATTATAGAATAATCTTTCAAATTAATCTACGTCTTGCGTATAATAATTACAATTCGGTACACTTAATTTTCTGTTATTATACTTTATTCCATTATCTCTTGTACAATATTCTAACATTTTGAATTTTTGCAGGATGTATTATAATCTAGACGCAGAGTTGAGACGGATGCTAGGCAAAGCTACGTGGAACTATAGCTTTAACAGTTTCACCACTGTATTTGAGCTACTCGATGATCAGCATGCAAATATGTTGTGCTAGTGCTTTCTTTGCCCATGTACCAGTTGAAAGAGGTGCAGTACTTAGGGCAGATTATCGATGCACTTCTATGTCAGTTGCAAAGTCCAATTGACAGTGATGCCTTCCACTTCGACCTCAGGGGCAAAGTCGCCAGTTTTTCTATGTTTGAGTTTGCTCTGATTTTTGGATTAAAGATTACAGGCAATGAAGTAGCTAGTGATGGGACTTAGAGAAGAAATAAGTTGCATGATGCTTACTTCCAGGGACAAGGGACGGTGATTCTACTGCAGCTGATCGAAACAATCAGGAGGTGTGACCAAATGTTAGACAGATTGAAATTAGGTCTGGTCTACATCCTTAAGAGCGTGGTGCGATGTCACCGCAAGAAGATTGCGATCGACCTCTTCTATCTAGAGATCATTGACAACATTGACAACTATCTGTGGGGTTGAAAATGGGACTTGCACTCGAAGCCCAAAGTGTCTGTGTGTAAGTACAACACCTATGAATTATCTCTAGCGCTGCAAGTAAATGATTAACATAATCAATGTTAAAATATTTTTCTATTAAATTTGTATATAATAATTTTATGTGTTGCAGATCTGGGCTTATGAGACCGTCCTCCTATTAGGTATCTACTTTGCGAAGTGAGGAAAGACACGCTGCCCTCGGATGCACCATTGGCGAGCATCTTGAGCAGAGGGATGTCCTATTGGAAAATAATTGTCGATAATCCTCATGTGAGTATTATACATTTGTGATTTACATTGTAAGTAGTTTAAAATCTCACTACATGATTGTTAACAATTTGAACTGTCAATATATCAGCTTGATGTAATAATTGATTCGATACCGTCGATGAAGGAGAGGCTTAGGGTCTTGTGCGCGAAGTAGCCATTCCGCACACTCAAGACGATCAGATGTCTGATTCAATCCATGACCTAGATTGCATAAGTGAATTGAATACCATTTATTGATTTCCATTTTGTATGAGTTAGCAATTGTTGATTAAGTTAAGAATTTGTAATGTTCTTTGTGTAGGAGCGCGTCCCGTTGATTGACAATCGCCTCCACCGCGGGCATCACTTCCGTCGAGGGCATAACCTTCTTTTCCCCTGTCCAGAGACTTTCCTTGTGGATCTCCCGCATATAGTTAGGATCATTATTTTGATGATCTGTATGCCCGTCTGATTGAATTTATGGTGCAAGAGGTCGGCATGCTGTGTTGAGAGCTGATAGGATTTATCGTGGAGGAGGTCAACGTGCTGCGTCAAGAGATGATAAAGAGTGTTACAACCCAATTATCCTTAGTCAAAAATCAAAAATTGACTAGTCAATGTCAAAGTCAATTAAGGACTAAAATAAAATAACATATTTTATTGGGGGTTTATTTTATAATTGACAATATTTGATGGTTAAATTAGATACAATTTAAGTTTGGAATTTACTTTTATATTAAGGGAAGCTAGAAGGATTAAATGTTATGTTAAAATGGAGTTGAGGGACTTCCCTTGCAATTTTTAGTAAGTGGATCTTTATAAACCTTTGACCCATTATTTTTCTCTAAAAAAAATACACACACACAAACACTGGAGAAAACGAGAGAAGGGTCGAGAGAGACCGAGAAGAAAATAGAAAACAAGAAAGAAAAATGAGGAAGAAGAAAGGAAGAGGAGAAGAAGAAGAGGAAATGGATTTCCAAGCTTGGTGCTCTATTTCTTCAATTTCTCATTTGATTTTGAGAGGAAAGTGTAAGTATATTGAATTAAGTTTTCTTTTAGGGTTTATGAAATTTTTGGTTATATTCAAAGTAGCTAGAATTAGAGGTTATTGACATTTATTTGAGGTATTAAACATGAGTATGTTAAAGAAATATATATTGAAAGATTGGTGTTGGAAAAAAGAAAAGAAAAGGGGGGAAACTTTGGAAATGAGTTTATGAAATAGTACTTATTTTTTGATTTTCATGGGATTATATGATGTTAAGCACTTAAATTAAGGAATTAGGGTTGATTTCTCCATTTTTAAGTAATAACTATAAGCAATTTTTGGACAAATCCTACACAGGTGCTGTTGTTGAAATCCTGCCCAGAAAAGTGCTAGTTTTGTCAATGTTTTAGGTGACAAATTTTAATATATAGACATTGGTGCTAGTTTTCAACATTCCGGAATTATAGCGCTAGTTTTGTCAATCATCTAATTTTCGTGGATTTTTAGTATTGGAACCAAATTAAGTGTTAAATATTTGGGGTTTTGTTATTAAAATAATTTATATAAAGGAGTATATGTTGTTAGTGACCTTACTTGGGATTACGAGGTTGGAAATAAAATATATAAAGTTTCCATTAGTAAATTATTATTTCTAATGATAGGAAAATACTCAAGGCATCTTGTAAAGGGATATGATTTATTGTAGCGAGAGCGCGATATCATACTTAGTATTTGAAAATGAGGGGACGAGAAGAATGAAACCATGATCGACTATGACTTGGTGAGTGGATATATAACTCATTTTTCAGAAATTAATATTTATTAAATTTATGTTGGAATAGAAAATTTATTATTTCATACAATTGATTTGACAGCATGATATTTAGAAGAAAGTGAATTTATAATCAGTTGTTTTTAAAGTTAAATTCAATTTAATTAAATCATTTGATTAGCAAGTTATATGAATATTAAATATTTCAACATATTTAAAGTTATTTTTAAAACCATCAGAAAATACCCGGTGATTTTACCCTAGTCTGCACTGGTATGAATGTGTTTCCACAGTGTATGACTAGTTATGGTGATTTTACCCGCTCTGCACTATTGTGAACGTGTTTCCATAGTGTATGACCAACTTATCAAATTATCAGAGGTCTTTGGGACCCACTCTTGTACACACATAGGCTTTGGCCATGTACTAGTGTGATTAGCCTTTGAGGTAGCTTTGCGTACGTATGACCAAATTATCAAATTTGAGTGGTTTTGCCTTGTACATCGAGATTACTCTATACATGAGTAAAGCTATCCATTAGCTAACTTTTTGGTGTGATTTTTCTGTATTTATACAGCTTATTAGATTTCAGATTATAGAATTTGGTTAATTCAATTTTTAGAGTAAAGCTTTCAGCTTATAGTATTAAGCAGTAGCAATATTTCACAGATGTTCACGGATATCATATTAATTATATTCGTTACATTTTACAATTACATATGTAGAATGAAGAACAAAAAATTTTATGATGTATTCATGTTTGATTTTAAAAGTGTTTTCAAATTTCAGAATTTCTAGAAGTTTTAGTAGTGCAAAAATTTTCAGAAAATATACACAAATGATAAAAGTTTACTTATTTGCAAATTATCCATTCAATGGGTTTTAAGCTCATATATTTTTTACCTTTTTCTTTATCATACGGATAGTAGTCAAATCGAGCAGTTTTGAAGCCTGTCAAACCACCAAATTGAGTCATGCGTCATAGGTTGTATGACATCCTTTATTAAATTATACATTATGTATTCTTTTGGAATACATGTAGATTACATCAGAAAAGTTCATTATGGGCTCTTTAGATAATTGATATCTTTAGTATATTTGAGAATTGTTGGTTGTAAAGCAAGTAAATGTGAATTTGCAAATATTTTATTTGAATAGTTTGTATTTTTAGGGATTGTCGTACCCTATTCATATAGGTATTGATTTGAGAAAATCTGGTTATTGTTCAGGTGGTTTAAGCTCATATTTCATGGGAAACTCTGTCAAAATTTTGTTAAAAATATTTTCTAGTCAAATGAATCAAGGTTGCCTTGGTGGTGGTCCGACGTTCAGCTGGTATTTACCATCAACGCATGACACGTATCGAATCCATTAAAGTTATTCAGAACGGGTCTTGTCAAAGAGGGTAGACGATAGTTGGTAGGAAGGGTCAAATATTTATCTGATGATGTTAGAGTGCTGTGTGACCATTATGTGGACTTTCAGGATGAGATTGCAGCACTTTGAGTGATATAGTCGGCAGGTGATGGGGTGACAGAGATGGTGACCAAAGGGTGATAAAGAGGGGGGTCATCGGCAGTCGTGGTCGGATGATGCATTGGAATTATTTTGGTTATCCGTGGAGTAGAAGTGGGTAGCCCCTTCGAGGACGGGAGCGGTGACAGAGGAGAAAGTGGCCCCATCAGGGACGGAAGAGGAAGCGAGCCTAGAGGAGGTGGTGGTCCCCAAAGTGGAAGAGGAGAAGACGACCATCGTGATTGAGGCTAAAAAATGTGCTCTTGACGCGCTAGAGCTGGTGGTCGGTAAGAAGTCGAGAGCACCGTCACGGCTGAGACGAAGAGGAGAAGGCTTGTTGACGGGACATACTCCAATTTGTTTCGGGAGGTCAACCATGTCAAATGGAAAGCATTCGAGACTAAGTGGTGAAGAATTTTGCTCGGGTAAGTATTGTATGATTTTAGTAGACTACGATAACTCATATGTGCTGCGTTTAATATTTTCTCTATTTTTTAGAGCCAGCCGGATGATAGCCAAAAAGACGATATTAGACGCATACAAGTGGTTCCATGATATCATCACTCAGGAGGCTTGACTTGCTGACGATGTAAGTGAAGTGATATTGTTACTTTTTTAATACATTATGTTTAGTTTATAACATGAAATAACTCCCCATTTTTTTTTCTTGATATAGCACATCGACCTGGCCATCGATTTATTGAGCGATCGAGCTAAGAGATATCCACAATCGTTCTACATTCCTGACCGAATAATACCAAACATTGAGTTTTTTCATGTCGTTACCATTGAGTATCAGTCATTCCAACTTATGGGTAACGAGTACACGCTACCCGAGTATATGCTCGAGTGGGTCATCGGGTTATCACCAAGTGTTGAGGAAAGTCATGGGAGAATTGTACGTATATGTACATTCCAGTGATCATGAATTATCACTGCATTGCTCTGAAGATCGTATTTGCTGACTCAACGATATATGTGTACGATTCCGATCATTCATATCTGACACAGGGGTAGCTCGAGCTAAACTTGGAGTTGATGACTGTGATTATTCCTTTGATGGCTAGACAGGCGGGCATGACCGTGTAGGACGGACTAGCCATCTTGCGGGACACGACGACGGTGAGACAATTCATATCGTAAGTGTTTGTAAATTTTTTTAAAATTTAAAAATTAGTTTTTACGTAATTGCAACTAAACTAACACATTATTGTTCATTTACAGGGGCAAATATGACATTTTTGCAATCAAATATATTAAATTTTTTAGTATAGCACGTAAAATTGATGGAATCAACCAGTCATGGATATAGATTATTGTGATCCATAAATTATTTTTAATTATTCATTCTAATTATTTGTAATTATTCTTTGATTTTTTCGTAATTATTCCTTGTAATGTATGGACATTGAAATTTTTTGTAGTATGAAACAATCGTTTATTTAATTACGATATGGTGAATGTTGTGAAATAAATGTAAATACTATTTATTTCAAATCGACAACAATGGACAATGGTCTAACTGTCATTTAGGGGAACCTGACTTGTACAAAATTGACTAGTATGTCCCACTGCTTTACACCTGTTGTACCTACGTGGTCGAGAAAATTTTTCGGTAGATGGTATTCTAGATGCATTTAAACATCCAAGACCACGCGGTTCAATGAGAGGTGGTGACAATGTATTGAGTGGGAGAATATGGTCATAAACTTCCTACTCGACTTCGTTTAATAGAGGAAATATAGTCTCAGTATACACATCTCTCCCATAGTCAGTAGTGTAATAAGGAGAGCACAATGTTTTCGCTGCAAATCCACAATGCATAGTCACCCTGACTGCATGCTCACATAGAAAGCTCTCTAACTAAAATTGTTTACAAGTACACATGTCATCAGTCAAATCCACCATGTATGTCGTATTATGTGCACATTTCACAAAGAAGCGTAACTCGTCCAGTAGTTCAACGTTCAACATTCAACATTCTCGCAACCTCTGCAGCCTTGAAGATCTTTTTCTCTTGCGCCGGGGCTAGCAGGCTTGTGCAGCTTTGTGATTCCGCACGTCGATCGTGAAATCATTATTGCCGCTTGGTACAAATATTCTCAATTAGTGCGAGAATAGGTAATTCTCGATCCTTCTTGAATAATACATTGAAAGACTCCACGTTATTTGACGTCATCATGTTGTATCGATGTCCATAAAAATATGAGTGCGCCTAATGTTCGATCCTCATTTTCGTTAGATATTCCCATATTTGGAATGATTTACTTCTTATTTCAACCATGAACTTATTACACTTTTCGACGATGTAAGCTTCAATCGCTCTTCTGAATAGTAAAACGATGTCTTTACCCCGATATCTGGTCTTCAGGTTGCCTTGCATATGGTATATGCAATTCCCATGATGTGCATCGAAAAAAGTTTCAGCGATACCATTTATTATAAACGGTCTCCGATCGGCTATAAATGTAAGGTTCTCGACTTCTCTGATTACTTCCCTGAACTTTGAGAAGAACTAACGCATCGACAGATCATTCTCGCTATCAATTATGTCGAATATAAGAAAGTAAATTTGAATGTTGGCATCTTGACATGTAGCAATAATTAACTTGTATTGATATCTGACATTAAAAGCGTTCCAAGCGTCGTTAAAAGCGTTTCAAGCGTTATGGTAGCTCATGATTGCTACGTACTCTAGACGGACGTCGTTAATGATATCTGATGGTTTGTAGATCATTCGTGAATCCTGATACTTGTGAATTATCCATAATGACAAAAAATTTACAATAAAATAAGTATGATTCGTTACCATAAACTTCCTTTTAGTTTAATATGAACAATTCCAAAAAATAAATTTTATTTTATATCATCGTTTACAAACAAGGCATTGGTTCATGAAATAAACACAAACAAAATAAATACTGGAAATAAAATTTATATTCGTGTTACACCGGATTTAATGTGTTTGAAATAATCTTGACATCACGATCGCACCTCATCGCCCCGCCAACCGACGACTCATTCAATCCTGTAAGAGTAGGGAAAATGGATGAATATATGAGAATACTCAGTAAGACTTGAAAAATCATGGTGCAATCCCAAATAAAAATATTTAAATACATGTGCCAAAAATATCACACCATCATCGTATCTTTAGAAACTGGTAAGAGCTCAATAAACATCAGATTTTTGATACTGGATGGCAATAATGTACATATCATATCTTTAAACTTTCATCAACATAATAATTTAACAACATAAAATAAATAATTTAGATAGAATAAAAGCAACAGCACCTTGTTAACCTACCCTGTGAGATAAAACAGTTTTTGAAAGCCAGAATTCAAAATCACGTTTCAAACTCATTTTTGGATATGTTGCTGCTACCGTCGCATATGTTTGTTTATATTTTCTAAGGTAAATAATAAGAACCTTGTATAGTATTTAAAGTTAAAAAGGGAATACCGAAGGCCTAAAAATTTGTCAAAAAATCGTGTTTCTACCCTAAAAAAAAGTCCCAATCCCAATAATCCATACAAACAAAAAATGACTTCCTTTCCTATTTAACAAACACGTGGCATGAAAGTCAAGTAAATAAATCATATAAAAAGAACATACCTTTTTCTACCATTTTTACACATGTCCATAAAAGCACACAATTCAAAAATTATAATAATCCCATAAACATGGCAGCAGTTTTAATTCAATTTGAAAACTAGTTTTTATCAACTTCTTCAAACTACAATTTGTTAGTGCTGATTTATCCAAATCAGCTTTTTCTCGTGTCAAATATGCATGATTAATTATTAGATATTCAATGAGCCCAATATCGATATATTTATAATTACTATATTAATATTTAAATATTTGATCCAAATAAAATTTGAATTTAAATAGGTTTTAGTCCTCAAATTTTTTTCAAAATATAAAAATGTAACCTACAAAACAATTACATTTTTTATTTTAGAATTTTCGGGGCGTTACATTATTTGTCGACCAATAAACCAAGTTTGGGCTTGCCTGTGATCATTTCGATGAACTCTCACTTCACAAGTATGTTCCCGTGTATATTTGCAAATTACGGAGCACTCATTCCTGTCCATCTTCGTCACTAGCAAATGCCAATTGCAACTATCATCTAAGCAACTAATCGTCAACAACGACTGGTTAGATTTTTTCACTTTGAACTCAAAGTTGTATTTCAGTGCAATTAGGTGCACAGCTTCTTGCAAATCTTTCTTCGTTTCAAATCATTATAATTGGGAACCACAGTGATGAGTTAGTTGACGATCCACTCGATCCAGCCCCTGAAGTCCCATCCCCGCTCATGTTTCTACCGGGATAAAGCAATCAAATTTTCATTTGTAAAAGTATTTGCATTTTTATTCTCATTGTTGTGAACTACGGAGGGAATTCTGTGCGCAACTGTCTCTGTAATAACCACATCATCTTCACGAACTATCTCCTTCATATCCCAAAAATCATTAGCATTTTGATCCTCTCCATCCGAGTCTACTTGTTCACCTTTGACGACATCCTTCCCCACTAAAGCCATGCAAAGAGGAGTCGTGTGCTTATTATTCAATTGAAAAAGACAATTCACTTCAGCATCAGAAAAAATCGTTATAGGTGAAATGGAACGAATGCATGCTCGCTGAATTTAAATCTTAGTCCCATGTCGTACTGAAAGGGATCAATATTCAACTTGTTCTGTAAATTATTATAGAGTTCTGCATATGATATACTTGATATTATAGAAATCGCGATATTACCACGTTTATCACTCATCCATTTCCATACCCATTGATCTCTTTCGTCCAATTCGAAATCACCAAAGTAACAAATTGGGACTACAACCATATTTGCATGACGAAATAAAATTTTTAATTACAAGAAAAATATCAATGGCAATAAAAATAATAAAAAAATGCCAGTTGCTTAACAACCAGACAGCCGACTTTTAACGGCCGACGGCTCGTCGAAAACAACTGAAACACAGTCAAACTGTCAATTGTTAATGCTTGATACTCGTCCGGCTACATTTTCATATATACAGATTTTTTTTTCTCATCAAAAGCTTAAAAAAGTTATAGATCTATTAAAAAAATTTATCTATATTAATATTATATGTTGAAATAAAATTTATCGTTTAAAACATACAATAATTTAATGAAAATAAAATTAAATTTACGTATTTATTCTTACCGATCTAGCGAGATTGATAGCAACAAAATTTTTGACTTCCGTGTTCGATATATTTTTCAGTTTTTGTGGTTGAAGCAGATGAAATATGAGAGTTTTTTATCTGTGTTGGAATAAACAAATAACAAAAGTTAGCTGATTTTGATGTTTTAAGTGAGAAGTGTTTGATTTTTAATTGTTAACTAAAATGGTAATAATTTCTTTTAAACAAAACTATCTTTTGTAAATATATAATGTATTTAAGGGTTTTTTGTCTTTTACCACTTAATAGGCTATTGTGATAATATTCATTTGTTAACAAGTCAAAGTGAAATTTCAATGAATTGACCATGCCATTTTTAAAAGTACCCCAAAAGTCTATTGTTTTCCTTAAAAGATAAACACAAATTCATAAATTATACATGACATATTCTTCAAACCACATGCTACTTTATTATTGTTTCTTCTAGATCAATATCAATATTCTTCTGAAAATATTAGAATTGTAATGTCATGCTCTTCAAGAGCAATAACATATTATTATTTGAAATAATAAATTATATAACACTTTACTCTTTGAGAGTAAAAACATAATTTTTAATTATGCTCTTCAAAAACAAGTAAAATATAACTGAAACATAATAATAGTGTACTATTTCACAGACATTAACAAATTATTATTTAGAAAACATTATCTATTTCAAAGGATAATTTCTATGCAAATATAATATTTACAGAATCGTGCTTCTTTAGGACTAACATGTCAATATTCTTCTGAAACCTCGAAAATTATAATTCATAATTTTCAGGAGCAGATAATATTCTTTTATAATATTAATTATAATATTGAGCTACTTCAAGGGCAACAACATAATGGATTATCAATTTAAGTTTATAAAGGAGCATCTAAAATTATTTAATCATGTTAAAAATGTTAATTATCATACAAACAAAATATGATATAAAAATTAATTACCAAACGGACAGGATATGAATTTATATATAAAAATTAATTACCAAACATGCATTGAGAAAAAGAATCTTCATATATATAATTTAACAACTTTGACTAAATCTTTTAATGGTTAAATTTTTACCAACATGCAAAAACTACAAATATGCACGTGAATTTCATATATAAAGAAATCAAAGGTAGAATTAAAAGCAGAGCTAATGTGACACAATCAAAACACATAATTGATACGTGAAAGAATAATATAGGGCAGAATTGATTGCGTATGAATCAAAATATATGAATTAATGGTAAAACATGAATTTACTTAATAAACCATGAATTAATATGCGGATAGATTACGTATACAAACATGAATTAAAATTAATATACATACAAATCAAAAGCAGAAAAGAAGAAGCAACCTCGTTATGATGCCGATGTATATTGAAAGAATTCAAATATCATCAAATTAATTTTGGTACACATGACAAATGATTTTGCTAATAAAAATTATTACCTTCTAACTAATTTACTTTGATTTTGAGAGAATTGTGTTAATAATATTTTACACAAAGAGAAGAGAACAAAAGTCTATAGATTTATAGATTTATGTATTTTGGTACATGTGACAGATAATTATACTTATAAAATTTATTACCTCCTTAAAATTTTGTTGGATTTTTTCATCAAAATTAACCAGAATGGTTCTTAAGAGTTGTCTGACTTGATTGCTAATAAAAAATAATAATAATAAACTCTTAGCCCCTATTTGGAGGAGAATAAAATTGAAATTTTATTAAATTTTGATAGAAGTTGATAAAATATATTGTTAAAAAGTTTGAAATACATGGTAAAATTAATTATTGACTTTAATTTAAATTGAAATCTAAATATTAATCATTGTCAGATAGGGCTTATAAATGTGTCACCTCCCATTTGTCAACGGCAAAGACTTACTTTATAAAGACCCGAACAGAAGTAAGTTACATTTGCAGGACTCAACCGTTCCTATCCCTAATTGCAGGTCCTTTTCATGTGGCTTGTTCAGGTACCTTGTCAAAGTTGCTTCAAGGCCTTTCAGATAGAGTGCGAAGTCTTCTATTCCTCATTCAAACTTTTCCTCCCCCCATTGTTAAATAACATTTGACATGTTTGGGGATATTTTTGGCTACACTTACAAAACTTGTATGGTAGAAAATGTACTCGTTAAGTCTCTAATTCGTAAAAAAATCTTTAAAACTCTTTTCAATTACACATTCACTCAATTCCTGAAAATATATATATAAAACATGCCCTTAGTAAATAAATTCGTTCCACAATGAATAACCTTTTTGTTGGTGGAGCTTAAAATTAAAGTTACTACATCCAAAAATAATGGACTATTATCAAAATAAGTCACATTTTCTACTCATAAGCAAGAAAAAAATAGCACATCCAAACATATTTAGAAACAACATATCTGCTTACTTTAAAGCAATTCACAACTTTCAGTACGCGCTCTCTTCTGATATCACATGTAATAAACAAGAAGAATAAAGCTAAGTATACGACATTGGTTAACAACAATGGTTGACAATCACGTGTTGTCAAAATTCAGGCCTGTGATGTAGAAAATTGCTTTTAAAATGGATAAATATGATGATACCAAGTAGGAAGCAATCAACCATGATTGTACGTATAGCACGATTCAAACAAGAAAGAAAAACTGACAATTGGTTGCAATATTTTTTAGGAAAATTCAAATGGATGAATACAAATTAGTTCAAAAAGGTATTTGAAGGTAACAAAATGGAATGGAATTACACCAATGAGAAATCACCCTTAGCAATCAGCAAGTCAGTATGTACTCGGTAGTGTGTCAAGCAAATGTATGTGGTACTTGTGATATTAACTCTTAAAGTGGGATTTTTACAACAGAAACTTCGAAACAGAGTAATTAAGAATTCTAGATGCACGTTTTGGAACAATGAAAACCGGAATTTCAGGATCGTATTAAATAATGCTATCCTAAATCCTTGTAGCAGTTAGCTAGGGGATTCACCCTCGACTGTTTCTTTAGTTGATGCCTGGACATGGGAGTTTTTGAATTCCTCGAACTGCAAGAAGAATTTATGGAAAGATGAGGAAAAGCGATTATGAGGCACAGGATATTCAGAAATGACGGCAGCACAAAATCTTATCTTAATCTATGGTATTAAAAGTTCTACATAATGCTCTCGACATTCAAGTTCAATAGCTTGTGTTTATTTGCACGACGGAAATTTGTCAGAAACCTTCAACGAGTCTTCAATTTGAATGTGCTTTACAAGCAACTCACTACCTTATCTTCATAACCGTCAATTGGTCCTCCAAGAGACCCAAAAGAAATAAACACATAGAAATGTACAAACTTATAAAGAAATTCAAGCAAGGTGATTGACTTTAGATTCTCACTGATCTATTAACTGAAACTCCATCTGATCTTGGCAACTGGAATGAGAAGTAGAAAACTAGTAGGTATTTCCCCTTATGAAAACAAATTATTTGAACAGAAAAACAAAACTAAAAAATAAAAATAAAAAATAAAAAAAAGGAAGCCCAACTATGTTAAGGAACTTGCAGGAGTAGAAAATTCTGCCCTTAACCAACTAGTGGTGTTGATGGATTCTCACGGAGAGTTTTGGTTGCATTAAAATTATTGACCAAAAGAAAGAAAATTACTCTGAGACTCTTACAAGCTGAAAGAAATAACTGCAGCAGAAAAATAAATAAACTAAGTCATACCTCCTGACATTTTTCTTGGTGTGCAGCTAAAAGCTCATTGTATCGTATCTGTAATTCAGACATTTCCGTTTGCAACTTTTCATAGTCAGACAGACTCGGACCACCTAATTTTTGTTGGATGAACCTGTCAACTCAGAAATATTAGCAGGTGTTCATTATATGATTATTGCTTCAACAAGATTATTTTTCAGTGAAAGTATGTCACGAAAGATGCACATGTGTCACAAACAGGTTTAGGACAACTAGGAAACGTAATGGATGACGAGGCAACTCTTTTCCCCAGTCACATCGAAATGCAATAGGTCCTTTCTTGCCTTTTGGAATCCAAATTACCAACATCAAAGGAAACATTTGACTCTTAAAACTACATCTGGACTAATCTTATCTTTTCAGGCATTTTTGCACCATATTGATACTAGAAAAACAAGAGAAAACAATGATTTTGGGTTGCTTGTGATATACTCACTCAACAGCTGAGGAAGGCTTGTCGTGCTGTTCGTATAGAGCAACGAGCACTACAATGAAGAGAACATTATTATCAAGGGGGACACGTTGAGAAAAAGAAGTTGTAATAACTACACTAATTTAAGTCAAAATAAAGGTTAAAATAGTTGCAACCTTTTGTTAGAGCATCAAGAACTCCACAGGATTCTAAGTACTTTCTAAACGCTTCCTTCTTGGCTTCCTTTTCCTGTCAAAAGACTTAAATGATGAAAATAACATGGGAAATTTTGAAAACGGAAAGAAAGAAAGAATCATGTTTGCATATCAAGGAACAGAATACAGAAGAGAAAGAGAAATGAAAAATTAGGGGTCAATTGAACGCGTCATATTTAGATAATACTTCAATGTCCGTTATATACTGCTCTTGTAGTGTATGCAATCATATTATGAGTTGATGACCACACTGCACCCCTCTCATCACAGTCCAACTCCCAAGTCCATTAATGATAAGCCGTTGTGCTTTTAACTTTAGTGGTGTCATCTAAACAATGATCAAACTGAAGATTCACCTGTGGAGTGTGTTGGGCTGGTGTCAACAAGTCATATAAAACCGACATGATCGAGTTGGTTACTGACAAATTTCTTATCAAAATTAATTCTCACAAATGTGCTGAAATGCTTTGGCAAAAATTAACACCCCGTTTGAGCCCCATTATTTCTCATTACATTAAATTAAAATTTTCCCTCTCCTACTTTTAACCACACAATCTTCAATAAAATAATATTACACGTAAATAAAAAAATTTTCAACCACTCATTTTTAAAATAAAAAAAAAAACACTATTCATCTCATTATAATGCCAAATAATGGGGCTCAAACACACCCTAAAACTACCATATGAAAAATTTATACAAGACAATTTAACCATTTCTAGGGTAATAACTCGTAACATTTGCTACTGAAAACCTACATTAAGGCCTTGTTTGAGCCGCATTCTTTCAAAAAAAATACATTTTTAAATAGTCGTTTAACATCATTTCAACCACACATTTTTCAACAAAACAGTATTACACATAAATCCAAAATTTTTCCAGATTTTTTAACTACACATTCTCCATCAATCTACTATTCCAAAATACATTCTTTCAAAATAATGTGGCTCAAACACACACTAAGTAGGTACTTAGTAATAGGGTTGTACATTAAAATATTTTCTATGACGTGTAACAATGCAAACTAAGCAAATTTCAAGAGAACAAATATATCATAATCAACAGCAAATTTAGGATTGAAGCGCCACGCCAAAGTAAAGAATGCCTACATAGCATTTGACTCTCCACCCTCAATAAAATATTAACTACATGACTCAAAAAGTTTCCAAGTTAAGGTGACACCCCTTGTTTCCTTGTTGAATATATAAAATGAAGAACAAATAAAGTACAAAGTTTTCCATAAAAATCAATTCCATTTTATTCCAGATCTATCGATGTTAAAAATGTGTCCTATAAACTATTGTATAGACGTGCCTTTTTCTTGAATGCAGTGAAATTTAATCATTATTTTAACAACGAAAGGCAAACTTAGTAACAAAAGAAAAATAAAAGGATAAAATTTTCCATTTTGTTTCTGAAAAACTAAAGAGAAATTTCCAATTTATGTTCCCTAAGTAAATAGTTGTAGATACAAAACCCAAAATTCTGCAACAAATACTGAAATGCCATGTATCAATACTTTTAAGCCCTTAGCACAGCAACTAAGACGGAAACAAGATGCCTTACACTTCAGCGACCGCAAGACAAAGAGAACATACCAAAGCCTTATCAATAGCATAATCCACATAATCCAAGCAACAAGAAATGTGCCTATAAGAATAAATAAAACCGCAAACCCGTGTTGTACAATTTAAGATTCAATAAATTCTGCTCCGAAAGATCCCATTCACAAAATGATATCCATTTTTCATACACTAACAATACTTCTCCTCCCCAAAATCATAACATTCTGTAAATTGAAAGTTGAAACTTGAATAGATGATTTAAATAAATAAATCCGTATCCATTTTGATCTATAATGCGGCAAACTTCGATTTATAGCAATCAACTAAATTGAGATCAATTGATTAGGAGGGACCGTAACTTACCATCTTCTTCCAATAGCAGTGGTGACTTCAATTCGCAGCAATCGGTAATGGGCGAAACCTTCTGTGTGTGTGAGAGGAGGGGGGGAGAGAGAGAGATTGGTACAAATATGTGAATTAATCTATTTTGGTAAATATACGTGGATTATTTTTGGTAAAGTAAATTACTACATGTACATAATTGTTTATATAATAATGTCTATAATTAGCACGAGATTCAACCTTTAATTCAAATATCACACTTGTACATCAATAATCGGATAATTGTCACATCACATTATGAACACTATTTTGTACAATAATTATGTAAATGGAGAATTCTCCTTTGGTAAATACCATTTCCATGTATAAACTATTGCAAAATCGTTAAATTTTTATAAATGACCTAATTAATACTCATACAGCATCTTCAATAGAGTCTTTACTTTTAACGAGAATTTCGATCATAAAAAAAAAAATATTTAAATTTAAAGAATAAATTTTTTACATACTCCAACATACACTTTATTTTTTACTCTTTATTTTGCCTTTCAACAACCATTTATTACTTTTCCCTCGTTTTTCAATTAATACATTTTATAGATTTCAATGACAAAAAAATTTGGCCCAATTTTTCTTTCAACTTTTTCTTCTCACTGTTATTTTTGGCACACAATCTTTCATGAAATAATATTACACGTAAATGGAAAAAAATTTCTTTCTTTTTCAATCACACACTTTAAAAAAAAATACTATTCCGAGCATTAAAATTTAAAAGAAAGGGGATCAAACGAGTAATCAATATAATATGAATAGTTTAAACAGAGGAGCGTTGAAACTCACCATTTCATTAAATGTAATTATATAGCATACAAATAGAGAGTGACTTTGGAGTATTTGCATTCTATATTTGTAAATTAAGAATAATAAACTACAAATTTTAATACTCAATTTTCAAAATTATTCAAATTATGTTTGAATTATTGTAAAATATTTTGTGATTTCTGTAATAAATTATCAACTATAAGCATGAGTCAAATAATAAAAATATGATAATAGAGTAAAAAAAAAAATGGCACAAGAGAGTTATGATAAACTCTGTCCTAAAGTCATTTAGCCTCTCATTCATACAGGTACTTCCGGCACTGCACGATTCCAAGATAAAAGCCCTTTTTGCTCGCTGCAGATTCTCCTTTTAGGGCATTAATTGCCAAAATTAAATATATATATATACACTAGAGAGTATATTTCAAGTATTTGTTTTGTTGTGTGTAAAATAATGTGAAATTCACCCCCTTTACAGTAACAAATTCAACACTCTCATAATGAAAATTAATCAAATTAAACATAAGTGTGCGTCTAACTCGCACCGTACTCATTGAAGGTTAAACCTTTCCTGACATCACAGTCATAGCACTATCACCATAGGGATAAACACAAATAATATAGTGCTATTACGGGTCATGCAATGCGAGTTGTTCCTACCACATTGAACATTCTTCATGAAATTTTCAATCACAAAGGTTAGGTTACTCCTAGAGGTGTTTTCTTATGGGCTTAAGCTCACCCCTCGATAATTCATTAACGCCCTTTTTTGATAAAACCAGGGATGGATTTGGGGGGGGGGGTTACTGGGCTGTAGTCCCCCCTCTACCAGGCCCAATTAATATTTTTTTAGGGTAATTTCCCCTTCTTCTTTTTGGTAAAAACTGATTTTTAATGTGTAAATTTTTTTTTCACATACTAGCCCGACTTGAAATTTTTTAGCCCGGTCTTGAATTCAATCCTAAATTTGTCCCTGGATAAAGCTTTGATTAAGTTATCTAATAAATTCTTTTTAGATCCCATAAAATTGAGAGAAATCACATTTCTCTTAAGTAAAGCCTTAACTGACTTCAGTCTTGCTTGAATATGTTTATTCATCTTCTTATTTGAGTGAGATTGATTTACAAGTCTATTACTACTTTTACAGTAACAATGTATTGAAATAACTAAAATTGGTTTACTTATTATTGGTATATCTAATAATAAATCTCTAAACCACTCAGCGTTAGTACATGTTGAATCCAATGCTATTAACTTGGATTCTAAAGTATTTGTAGATAAATTTGTTTGTCCTTTTGAATCCAAAGATGCGGCTGCACCGCCTAACATGAACACATATCTAGTTGTAGAATTAGCCACTGTTTGATTCCCATTACCTGAAAATGAAAATGGGGGGAATAATATTTTTTAGAAAAATGAGTGATTGAAAAGTAAGGAAAAGTTTTCGATTTACGTATAATATTATTTTATGAAAGATTGTATGGTTGAAAATAGGAGAGAGAAAAATAAAGTGTAATGTAATTTAATTTAATGGGGATCAAACAGGGGCTTAATAAGTACATTATTAGTTATTCAGTTTGTATCGCTATATCCTTCAATAATATTTGGAAAATTTCTATAGCTTATAGAATAATCTAATGTACTTCGGAGATATTTAAGCACTCTCTCCAGAGCGTTCCAATATTCTTTATTAGGGTTGTTAGTATATCTATTAAGTCCTCCAATAGCAAAGGCTATATCAGGTCTTATCTTATTTGCTATGTGCAATAAGGATCCAATAATTTGAGAATACTCAAATTACAAACTAGGTTCATCTAATTTTTTCTTCAAGTGCACATTTGAATCATATGGAGTTGACTTATTGTCAAAAATGCCCAAACTTTTCCAACATCTTTTAGTAGCACTAGATTGATTTAGTGAAATTCTTTCTGATATTTTCATTAACTTCATTCCCAAAATTATATGAGTTTTTACCAAATCTTTCATTTCAAAATTCTTTGACAAATAATTCTTCACATTATTAACGAATCCTAAATTTGTTCCAATTATTAATATGTCATCTACATATAAACAAATTATAACATGCTCGTTGTTATCTTCTTTGCAATATACACACTTAATATGTGAATTAATTTCAAATCCATAATTTAGTATAACTCTATTGAACTTTTCATGCCACTGTTTAGGAGCTTGCTTTAATCCATATAATGATTCCATTAATTTACATACTCTATATTCATATTCTTTGACTTTAAATCATTCTGGTTGTTCCATATATAGTTCTTCATCTAAATCACCATTCAAAAATACAATCTTAACATCCAATTGATTACTAATCAATTTATGAATACTAGTTAATACTAATAATGTTCTAATAGTAGTTATTCTTGCAAGTGGAGAATATGTATCAAAATAATCAACTCCTTTTTGAGTTAATCCTTTAGCTACCAACCTAAGTTTGTATATATCTATATTTCCATCAACTTTCAATTTCTTTTTAAATACCCACTTACATCCTATTGCCTTACTACCATGAGGTAAATCACATAAAACCAAGTATTATGTTGTATAATTGACTCATACTCATCATTGATAGCTTCTTTCTAATAAGGTACATCAGTAGAGACTATAACATCTTTTATGTTTCAGGTTCACCGTCAACTAAATATGTAAAGAATTCTTCTCCAAATGATTTCTCTTTCGTAGTCCTTTTATCCTTACAAAGTTCATGTTCAACTTCACATTCTAAAGATGAACTAAATGGTGTACTATTTGAAAACACTTTCTTAGAAGTCAAGGATTCACTTAAATTGTAGTCTTAAATGGAAAAACATCTTCAAATTAAGTAACATCTCTAGCTTCAATGATATTATTATTTTTAGTGTCACTTCCTTCGGGATTTACAATCAAGAATCTATTTGCGCTACTATTTTGAGCATATCCTATAAAAACAGCATCCACAATTTTTGGTCTTATTTTCTTTCTTTCAGGATCAGGGAAAACTACTTTTGCCAAGCAATCCCATACTTTTAGAAAATATGACCTAGGAAATCTCTTTTTTCCATAGCTCATATAGACTTTTAATATTATCCTTAACAATTACTCAATTTAATACGTAACAAGAAGTTAAGACAGCTTCACCCCATAAGTTTCAAGTGCTACAGAACTTCTGAGCATAGCATTTATCATATCCATTATAGTTATATTCTTCCTTTCTACAATATCATTGGATTGTGGTGAATAAGGATATGTCACTTCTTGTATTATACCATTATCCTAAAATTATTCACAATATATTATCCTCCTCTATCGGACCTCGAGATTTTTATCTTACGTTCTAATTGATTTTTTACCTCAATTTTATAGATTTTGAACTTATCATATGCTTCATTTTAATAAATAAATATAGCTATACTTAGAATAATCGTCTATAAATGTTATAAAAATATTTATTATCAGCTCTTGTTGGCAATCTATTAGAATTACAAACATCACTATGAATCAATTTTAAGGGTTTGTATCCCTTCTAACAGATTTGAAATGTCTCTTAAATACAAACTTCACATTTATTATTACCAATTTGAGATTTTGGAATCAAGTTTAGATCCATGAGCTTCTTGATCTACACATTACTGACACCACTCAATCTTTCATGTCACAATTAACTAACTTTAACATTAAAAACCATGGAAGAATAATGATAAAGATTTTCAACAATATTCGATTTAAACAAGGAGAATTTTCATAAATATTACTAAATTTGAAAACCCACAAAAAATTTTCATTTTCACTAAAGATGCTCAAAAATGTCACTTTTCTGGTGTGAAAGATCGAAATTACCCTTAGTGACACCTTTTTAGGAGTATTTAATGCTTGATTTGAATGTCATTAATGTTATGATGTAATGATTTAATTTGTATATTATAAACATTAGATATATGATTATTATATTGGGTAATATGAATTTTGGTTTAAAAAAAAAAGATAAAAAAATTTGAAAAGTTAACATAAACACATATTCTTACCATTAGCAAATCCTAACTTCTTATTCATCTTCTTCATTCCTTGACCAAGAAGATATTACTATTGGATTCAACATCCATTTTGAGAGTTTAGTATTAGAAATTGTTTATATTTTTATTTTGTAGCTTATTATTTTTGTAAATGTTAAATACAACATAGTCATAATTATTTGAAAATTTTGAAACTCCTCTTCATTGGTTTGTTTGGTCTTTGAAATATTTTTGAAAAGTAAAGATATCAATATCCTTTACAAAAGGATTCCATATTTAATGAAGTATTGAGTTATTTATTTTTGGGAAGATG